ACCTTTAAAAGCAAAGAGAAATATTTTTTGATATGGACTTTTTTCTGATGATTTCCTATATATTCTATGTTTTATATCAAAAAGCTCCACTATTTGTGTTTACCACTTATCATCAGAAACATATTGTCAATCATCTTTTTGTTATTATTTTGTGTTTTGTTACTACCATTTATAGAAATAGTTGACAGTATTTCTTATCTTGATGGAGTGCTATTTATCTCATGTCTAATATAATACTTCACATCAGCCATAGAATCTAGAATACCAAAGGGACTGCAGAGAATACAAAGAGATGAGTTATCATAATTCAGAATTAAATGAAAATGCAAGCTGAGAATCAGTTGTGTACCTGATTTACATACTGAGGAATATACCATGTAATTAGAAATAAGTAAAACAACCAATAGGTAAAAATGAAAATCAAAAATACATAAAAATAGGGTTTTTCATATTAATAAATTCGTTGAGGATCTATATTATATCCAATTGTCATTTCAGTGATTTAAAGTGCCCCTCCGTCCAGCGCTCACCTGAGCAGACCAGAACCCAAACCCACTTAAATCTACTTTCTCTCCACACTCGCGCACTCCCATAGACAGGAACCAAAACTCTGCTTGCTGTTGTGAGCGTCTTCAGGCACTTTCTGAAACCCCCGCCTCCTCACATATGGGCGAATCACCGATGCAACGGTTCATCCAGATCCACATATACACGTGCAGACGGAGCAGAGAAGGAAAACAGACAGGCACACAGCCGTGGTTAAGACCACACACAACAGATCACACACAGATCAACACACCATGCAACATCACACCCACACCACCACTCACACAACAACTGCATAAATAAGAAGCAGTCCTGAACATGCAGCAGCCCACAGTGAGTAAATTCACCAAGCCCCACCCAACACCGCGCCCCCCCCCCCCCCCGACAGAAATGAAAACCTCCTCATTGTGCTTCTACTTTCACAGCTTGAGCAGAAAGAAAAGAAAGTAAAAACATGTATTTCAGCTAACACAAGGTTACTGAGAGCGAAGATATTCTTACCTAGTAAAAAGTGTAGTGTAATGTTGGTCTTGGTATTTACAGGTCGGTATCAAACCAGGCCAGTTGGTTGGAGTCACCAGGTGGCAGACCCTCTATCAGTTCCTGGGCGTGTCCCAGGTCAGGCAGCCCCTCTACTGGGGGGTAGTCCTGGCCAGGGTGGTGGCCGCCCAGATCATGGTCCATCATGGGCTCCATACCCATCGAGTCCCCTCCGTAACCCCCCGAATGGAAGGAACGGTAGCTTGGGTCTGGGGGAGGAAGGAGTGGATGGAGGAGAGGCAGGGAAGCAGAGCAGTTGTTAGCAGCATGTTAACAAACCAAGCGCTCACACAGTAGTATGATCATTCAGAGTGAACACTACACAGCAACACAGCACACCGTCCTTCCTCCAGCAGCAGCGAACTCAAACTACAGCGGTTCAGGAGGAATGGAAACCAGCAGCTAACCCTCGCCCCTTTGTCTATTGATCAGTCCAACGTCC